ATAGATAGATAGATAGATAGATAGATAGATAGATAGATAGATAGATAGATAGATAGATAGGTGGGTGGGTGGGTGGGTGGGTGGGTGGGTGGACGGACGGACGGACGGACGGACAGACGAATAGACGGATAGATGGATAGACGAATAGTCAGAGAGACAGACGACAAGATAGATAGACAGATGGACAGATAGACAGATGGACGGACGGACGGATGGACAGACAGACGGACGGACAGACGGATGGATGGATAGACGGATAGATGGATAGACGAATAGTCAGACAGAGACAGATGACAAGATAGATAGATAGATAGACAGACAGACAGACAGACAGACAGACAGACAGACAGATAGCCAATAGAGGCCAGTAGAGGGAGGGGACTTCTGGAAATGGAGTGGGGGGGGGGAACAGACCAACCACAGCAAATGTTTTGGGGTGCAAAGGGGAAAGATTTCTCTCTCTGGCTTTGTAGACTGACTGGAGAGCGGATTCCCCCCCACACACACACACAGACACCCCGTCCCTGGCAACGGCTGAGCAGAGACAGCAAAATAAATGGCTGCTCCCCCCATTTGGCAACCCGGAGCTGCCAGTGGCAGCATCGTTTCGGGGGAGGGGGTCAAGAGGGCCGCCATTAACGTCAGCAGAGGGATGGCGTGTCATAACTCCCCCTGCATTAGTGCAGAACCTGGGGACACGGTGGAGGAGGAGGAGGAAGAGGAGAGGAAAAGAGGAGGGAGAGGAAGAAGAGAAGATGGAGAAGAGGAAGGGGAGGAGGAGGAGGAGGAAGAGGAAGGGGGAGGGGAAGGAAGAGGCAGAGAGGGGGAGGAGGAGGAGGACTGTGGGGTCCTGGGTGCTCTCTGAGCTGGGTGGTTTTCTTGCCGATGTTTCATGACCCAACTAGGGAACATCATCAATGCTAGAAGGGAGGGGGGTTTGCAGAAAGAGTGAGGAGGAGGGGGAGGAGGAGGATGGCAACAACAACAACAACAACTGTGGGGTCTTTGGTGCTCTCTGAGCCGGGTGGTTTTCTTGCAGACATTTCATGACCCAACTAGGGAACATCATCAATGCTAGAAGGGAGGGGGGAGTTGTGAGGAGGAGGAGGAGGAGGAGGAGGAGGAAGAGGAGGAGGAGGAAGAGGAGGAGGAGGAGGAAGAGGAGGAAGAGGAGGAAGAGGAAGAGGAGGAAGAAGAGGAAGGACTGTGGGGTCCTTGGTGCTCTCTGAGCTGGGTGGTTTTCTTGCAGACATTTCATGACCCAACTAGGGAACATCATCAATGCTAGGGCAGTTTGCAGAAAGAGGGAGGAGGAGGAGGAGGAGGAGGACAACGACAACGACTGTGGGGTCCTTGGAGCCCTCTGAGCTGGGTGGTTGTTTTTCAGACGTTTCATGACCCAACTAGGGAACACCATCAGCGCTAAAAGTGTGTGTGTGGGATGGTTACAAAGGAAGTGTCGGGCTTGACTGCAAGGCTTACCTTTAAAACCCCCAGAGAGTTCAAGGATGCTTCTTCCGGCAGAGAAGAGGGCAGGCATGTTGTGCAAAGGGGAAGTTGAGGCACACTCCGCTCGTCCGTCCCTCCTTCGCTGGATCTCTCCTTCTCCGCTTCTGACAGTTTACCTGTTAGCTCTCTCGCCCGTCAAACGGGATCCTTTCAAGAAAAAAAAAAAATTGCCTTTGAAACAGGACCGGCCATTTTCTGCCAAGGTCCAGCTTTCCTGGCTGTTTGGTCCAATGGGTGTTATCTTGGCAGACCGTTTTCACAAGTGCAACACGTTTTACCTATTGTTTTCATGCAGCTGTGCAGTTTGTGTACAGATGGTTCCCTGATCTACATATTCAAGGTGTGGGGGGGGGAAGTGTGAAGACTTGAATTTCAAAGGATAATTCACCTTTCAGATAGGGCTCTTCCAACTTGGCCCTTTGATGACTGGTGGACTTCAACTCCCAGAATTCCTGAGCCATCATGGGGGAACTATGGCCCCTTCATGACTGGTGGACTTCAACTCCCAGAATTCCTCAGCCAGCATGGGGGAATTATGGCCCCTTCATGACTTGAAGTCTCCAAGTCATCAAAGGGCCAAGAAAAATGGTCACAACTTTTCAGTGCCCTTGTAACTCCGAACGGTCACTAAACAAATGGCCATAAATTGAGGATTACCTGTGCAGGTTATTGATACAAATTAGTCTTAAAAGAAAATAAACATCTCAAGCATTTTCCTTTCTAGGCCAAGATGGGCAAGGTTTGAGGAAAGAATAGCAGAATAAGAGATTCGGAAGGGACCTTAAAGGTCATCCAGTCCAACCCCCTGCTCAGGCAGGAGACCCTACTCACCATTTCAGACAAGTGGCTGTCCGGTCTCTTCTTAAAAGCCTCCAGGGATGAAGCACCCACAATTCCCACTGATTGATTAATTAATTAACAGCATAACAGAGCTGGAAGGGGCCTTGGAGGTCATCTAGTCCAACCCCCTGCTCAGGCAGGAGATCCTACCTAGACCATTTCAGACATGTGGCTGTCCAGTTTCTTCTTAAAAGCCTCCAGGGATGAAGCACCCAAAACTCCCATTGATTAATTAGTTAACAGCATAACAGAGCTGGAAGGGGCCTTGGAGGTCATCTAGTCCAACCCCCTGCTCAGGCAGGAGATCCTACCTAGACCATTTCAGACATGTGGCCGTCCAGTTTCTTCTTAAAAGCCTCCAGGGATGAAGCACCCAAAACTCCCATTGATTAATTAATTAACAGCATAACAGAGCTGGAAGGGGCCTTGGAGGTGATCTAGTCCAACCCCCTGCTCAGGCAGGAGATCCTAGACCATTTCAGGCAAGTGGCCGTCCAGTCTCTTCTTAAAAGCCTCCAGGGATGAAGCACCCACAACTCCCACCGATTGATTAATTCATTAACAGCATAACCGACCTGAAGGGGCCTTGGAGGTCATCTAGTCCAACCCCCCTGTTCAGGAAGGAGATTTGGAAGTGGCGCGGGGGGGGGGGAGGGAATCTAAAAAGGGAGAATTAACGAGCTGAGCCAGCCCCGAGTGCGGGACAGCCCACTAATCTCCCTATTAAAACCTTAAGAGGAATCCTGGCGCCTTTCTGTATAAACTCATTAACTTTTATGGCGTAATAAATGGATCCTATTAAAGCATAATTCGCTCCATGCTGGGGGCGAGTTAACCTCTTGAAGCCTCCTCGGCAGCTGCCTGTCATCTTGCCCCCCCCCCGCTTGCGGGCACGGCACGTGAGAAAGCTTCCCCCCCCCAGCCGCCCTCGCCTCCCCCGCCCGGCATGGGTGGGGGACTTCTCTGGCCAGCTGCCTACAGTGCAGCCTCCCTCCCAGCTGGAGACCGGCGCTGCTTAGGGAGGACACCCCGGGATCATCTAGTCCAGCCCCGTGCCTGCTCCGTCCCAGCTGGGGGACCGGCGCTGCTTAGGGAGGACACCCCGAGATCATCTAGTCCAGCCCCGTGCCTGCTCCGTCCCAGCTGGGGGACCGGCGCTGCTTAGGGAGGACACCCCGAGATCAGCTAGTCCAGCCCCGTGCCTGCTCCGTCCCAGCTGGGGGACCGGCGCTGCTTAGGGAGGACACCCCGAGATCAGCTAGTCCAGCCCCGTGCCTGCTCCGTCCCAGCTGGGGGACCGGCGCTGCTTAGGGAGGACACCCCGAGATCATCTAGTGTGCTCCGTCCCAGCTGGGGACCGGCGCTGCTTAGCGAGGACACCCGAGATCATCTAGTCCAGCCACGTGCCTGCAATGAATAGAATAGAATAGAATAATATTAGAATAGAATAGAATAGAATAGAATAGAATAGAATAGAATAGAATAGAATAGAATAGAATAGAATAGAAGCTGGAAGGGACCTTGGAGGTCTTCTAGTCCAGCCCCCCCCAGCCCGCCCCCGCTCAAGCTGGAGAACCGTCCTATAATCAGACAAGTGACTGTCCAGTGATTGTCCGGGGTCCTGCCTCTTTCCACACACACACACAAAATGGGGCCATGGGGGTGCAGAAAAGCAAGGCCAGCCCCCCCCCGTGCCCACCTGCAGCAGAGCTCCACCAGAGAAGGAGGCCAGCCCCCCAGGGAGGCATTTTGGATGGCTCATTACCGGCTAATGAAAGCAGTTTAGCATTTAGCTTAACGTCTCTAAATGGTGCACGACTTAGTTGCAGATAATGTGAATTGAAGAAACGGGGGTGGGGGGGGCTGTTGTAAAACCGCTTGGCTGCAGTAGCACGTGGTAGAACATGTTTTCGGCCTGGCCTTTAAGAGGAGGCTTTGGGGCATGTGCAGAGATCATTTCTGGGGTGGCTTTTTGGAAAGAAGAGATGCTATCTTGCAAACCTTAACACCGTTTTTTCAATCCTGGCCATTTTAAGCAGGGTGGACTTCCAGAATTCTCCAGCCTGCATGCTTTAAGAGGGGAGGACTTCCACTCCCAGAATCCCCCAGGCGGCTTGTTGAAGCCCACTTCTCTTAAAGCGTTCTGGCTGGGGAATTCTGGGAAGCAGAACCACAAAGGGCCCTTTCATTCCTTCGGCTGCTTACTTTTTCAATTCATTAATTCACTTTCTACACCGCCCATCTTCACAGTCCCAGAAATCCTGTGCACCTCTAGGGCAGGGGTCTTCCAACTTGGCCCTTTGAGGACTGGTGGACTTCAACTCCCAGAATTCCTCAGCCAGGATGCTTTAAGACAGGGGTCTTCTAACTTGGCCCTTTGAGGACTTGTGGACTTCAACTCCCAGAATTCCTCAGCCAGGATGCTTTAAGACAAGGGTCTTCCGACTTGTGGACTTCAACACCCAGAATTCCTCAGCCAGGATGCTTTAAGGCGGGTCTTGCAACTTGGCCCTTTGGTGACTTGTGGACTTCAACTCCCAGAATTCCTCAGCCGGCAACACCGACTGAGGAATTCTGGGAGTTGAAGTCCACAAGTCATCAAAGTGCCGTTTGAAGACTCCTGCTTGTGGACTTATTCCCAGAATTCCTCAGCCAGTGTTCCTGGCTGAGGAATTCTGGGAGTTGACGTCCACAAGTCCTAAAAGGGCCAAGTTGGAAGACCCCTTGCTCTAGGGGCGACGGAACCCTGCTCGCGGCCCCAGAGGCTGGACTGGATGGCCTCTGGGAGGCCCCCTTCGCCTTCCCCGGCTCCGCTCACCGCCCTCTCCGTCTCCTCTTTTCCCTCCTCTGCAGGCTTCTCCCACGAGGACTTCCAGGCGGCCGGCAGCTCCGAGGCCGAACGGACGGCGCCCCCCACCCGCGACCTGCCGGCGCGCGAAGCCCCCTTCTCCACCACGGCGCCCACCCTGAAGCTGCTCAACCACCACCCGTTGCTGGAGGGCTTTTTCCCTGAGGAGCCCCCGCCCAGGGAGGGCTCGCAGCCCGCGCCCCTCCTCGCCTGGGCGCCCCCCCGCCGCCCGCCCGCCCCGGGGCCCGCCGCGACCCCCACTCCGACGGCGGCGTCTCCAACCTCGGAGCCCGCGGGCGCCGTTAACCCTCGTGACCGGCAGGCGGCGCACATCTCCCCCGGCTCCTCGGGGGTCGCGGGGGTCGCGCTCTCCAGCCCCAGGGACCGCTCCCCGGGGGCCACGTCGCGCAGGGGGCCTGAGACCACCGCTGCACCTGTGGCAGGTAAGGGAGCGGAAAGGGGGCATCCCGGAGATCCAGCGTGCGGGTGTGGAGATTCAGCAGCCATGACTCAGGTTATGGGGGGGGGGGTTTGCGGGAGCCCCCAGCCCCAGGAGGCTGCAAGGAATCTGGGTCTGCTCAAGAGGCAGGGGGTAAAAAGAGGAGGGTCCAGGTAGGCAGAGGGGGGGACTGGCAGATCTGTAGACAAAGTTCCCAAGTTCAGCTGGTGCAAAGGAATCCCGCATTGGGCGGGGGGGGGGGCTGCAGGATTGGGGAAGAATATTTCAGTATTTGAGGGGCTGCCCCAAAGAAGAGGGGGTTCCACCTATTCTCCAAAGCCCCCTGAAGGCCAGGACAAGAAGCAATGGATGGAAACCAATCCAGGAGAGAAGCAACCTGGAATTAAGGAAAAACTTCCTAACAGGGAGGACAGTTAACCAGTGGAACAGCTGGCCACCAGAAGCTGAAAGCACTGGAGGTTTTTAAGAACAGTCACTTGTCTGAAGCGGTCTAGACTGGGCAGGGATAGGCAACCTTGGCTCTTTTATGACTCGTGGACTTCAACTCCCAGAATTCCTGAGCCAGCATGGGGGAACTATGGCCCCTTCATGACTTGTGGACTTCAACTCCCAGAATTCCTGAGCCAGCATGGGGGAACTATGGCCCCCTTTATAACTTGTGGACTTCAACTCCCAGAATTCCTGAGCCAGCATGGGGGAACTATGGCCCATTCATGACTCGTGGACTTCAACTCCCAGAATTCCTGAGCCATCATGAGGGAAACTTTGGCCCCTTCATGACTGGTGGACTTCAACTCCCAGAATTCCTGAGCAGCATGGGATAAACTATGGCTCCCTTCATGACTTCTGGACTTCAACTCCCAGAATTCCTGAGCCAGCATGGGGGAACTATGGCCCCCTTCATGACTCTGGACTTCAACTCCCAGAATTCCTGAGCCAGCATAGCTCAGCATGGAAACCTCTCCCTTTCCCCTCAGCACGGCTGGCTCAGGAATTCTGGGAGTTGGTCCACATAAAAGAGCCAAGGTTGCCCACCCCTGGTCTAGGGTCTCCTGCTTGAGCAGGGGGTTGGGCTAGATGACCTCCAAGGAGCTCTTCCGATTGAAAAAAAGTTCCTGTTTCTTATTCCTGAGCAGTGAAAGATCTGGAACGGGGGCGTCCATCTTTAAGGGGTGCTGGCTGGGGAATCCTGGGAGTTGAAGTCCACAGGTCTTCCAAGTTGCCAAGGTTGGATACCCCTGCAATTTTCCCTCGGAGCAAATCCTCCTTCTAGCAGAGGGCAGAGGCCCCCTCCCCTCTTATTCCTGGAGGGTCTGCTGCTCTGAGCCCCCTCTAAAAGGGAGGCCTCCCCCCGCACCAGCCCTTGAGGGGATGTTCCGAGGGGGGGTCAATATTTTTCATTTGAGGCAGTAAAGCTGCTCAGATGGAAAATCCAATTTTGGATCCTTGGCGACATCCCCGTGGCTCTCTCTCGGTTCCACATGGAGACTCCGTCTACCGAAGAACAGTGTGCAGGCGAGGGGGAGGAAGGGGGGGGGACAAACCTGGGCCTCGGCTGCAGGGGGGAGGAAGGAAGGGAGCAGGGGGCATAGCCCCTCCCGCTCTCCACAAGTTGAGAGCGACCAATGGATGGAATAGTTTGTTTCCAGGAGATGTGGGTGCTCCACTTCAAAAACAGACTGGACAGCCATTTGATCTGAATAGTATAAAGACTCCTTCCTTGAGCAGGGGGGTGGAGTAGATGACCTCTGAGGTCCTTTCTTATCCTGTGATTCCATGATTTAGGAAGGGAGAGGAAAGGGGGGGAAGGAAGGAAGGGAGGGGGGGAGGGAGGGAGGGAACAAGAGAAGAAGGTGAAGGGAAGGATAAAGGGAGGGAGGGAGGGAGGGAGGGAGGGAGGGAGGAAGGAAGGAAGGAAGGAAGGAAGGAAGGAAAGGCGGGAAGGAGGGAGGGAGGGAAGGAAAGAAGAGGAAGGGAACAAGAGAAGAAGGGGAAGAGGAAGGATGGAGAGAAGAAGGAAGGAAGGAAAAAAAGAAAGAAAAAAAGAAAGAAAGAAAGAGAAATATGAAAGGGAGGGAAGGAGGGGGGAGGGGGAGGGAGGAAATAAGAGATTAACAGAGAGACAAGGAGACAGAGAAAGAGGGAGAGAGAAAGAAATGGAGGGAAAGAAGGAAGAGAGAGAGAGACAGAAAGAAAGAGAAAGAAAGAAAAGAAAGAAAAACAAAGAGGGAAAGAAACAAAGAAAGAAAGAAAGAAAGAGAAAGAAAGAAAGAAAGAAAGAAAGAAAGAAAGAAAGAAAGAAAGAAAGAAAGAAAAACATGGGTAGAAGCTCCTTAGAGGGAAATCCAACATGGAATTGAGGAGGAATTTCCCGACAGTGAGAACCGTCAATGGAATAGTTTGCCTGCTGGAGTTGTGGAGGCTCCATGCTCTTGGCCTTCCTTTGTCTGCGATGGCGTAAGGACTCTATGCTTTAGCCAGGGGGCTGGACTAGAAGACCTCCAAGGTCCCTTCCAGCTCTGTTCTGATTGATTGATTGATTGAAAAGCTTGATTTTCCTATGCAGCAAGGTCGATCTACGTAACATCTGTCTTAGAAGACTTCGGAGGTCCTTCCGACTCGGTTATTCCGTGAAGCTTCTAAGGGCCTCTTCCTCCCTCCCACCCTCTTGACTCCCCCCGCCCAGGGCCCTGCTGCTGGAACCTGACCGGACCTCGGGGCGCCCTGGCATCTCCGCTGCCCAGCAACACCCCCTACGAGAACGGCTGGCTGGAGTGCGCCTACACCATCTCGGTCTATCCTGGTTACGGCGTGGAGATCCGGGTGAGTGACCCCCAGCGGGAGGAAGGGCTGTGTGCCCAGCTGGCTTTGGGAGGGTGGAGCTGGCCCCCCTTGGCTCAACCTTCAGAAGGGGTCTGGGGTCGGTGGGGGGCTCCCCAGCTTTGGAGGGCTCCGGGGGGGGGGGCAGGGGCAAACTCCAGACTGGGCAAGAGCCAATCAGAGAGCACCGAGTGGGGGGGCCTTTATTAGCAACCCCCTTTGCAGGTAATCCTCGACTTTCAATCATTCCTTTGGCCACTGTTCAAATTTAGAGGAAGTCCTTGGCTTACGCCCACAACCGAGATGAGAATCTCTGTCGCTAAGCAAGGCGCCAGGTTAAATGTGCCCACTCTGACAACCACTTTTGCTACAGTTGTTCAGCAAATCCTTCCGATTGTGAAGTGAACCTAGCCCAGTGCTTATCAAGCTGAGCCACTTTAAGACAGTGGACCTCAACTCCCAGAATTCCCCAGGCAACTGGTAGCGCATGGTCAAAAGTGGAGGTGTCCAACCTTGGCTACTTTAAGACTGTGGACCTCAACTCCCAGAATTCCCCAGGCAGCCATGCCGGCTGGGGAATTCTGGGAGTTGCAGTCCACACGTCTTTACGTATCCAAGGAGGAGAAAGACTGCTCTAACCATTAGTGCAGCCTCCCCTTCCTCACATTCCAAGTCCCAGCAGTCACTACAGCCACTTCCAGGTATGTGAGGCTGTGATTGGTTGCTGTGGGTGTAAAGGGGGAGTTTCCCTTTTTTCCCGCCTTTTTTTCTTCTGAGAGCTCTGCATACTGTTAAGATTTACCTCACGATGTTCCTGCGTTCCTGACTATCTTGTCTGCCATGAATGTAGATGTGAAATATATTTATTTATATAAAACTACAAGTTTGTGTCAGTGTCTCTGACTTCATTTGGACACCTGGCTGCACCATTCCCTGACCAACTCCCAGAATTCCCAGCCAATCGGCATAGGGCAGGGGTCTTCCAACTTGGCCCTTTGATGACTTGTGGACTTCAACTCCCAGAATTCCTGGCTGGGGAATTCTGGGAGTTGCAATCCACACGTCTTAAGGTATCCAAGGAGGAGAAAGACTGCTCTAACCATTAGCGCCGCCTCCCCTTCCTCACATTCCAAGCTTGCAGATGCCCACCGCAAGGCCGGGCCCATCCGCACCCACCCGTGGGCACCGTGTTGGAGAAGGCCAGATGTTCCTTTCAGGATGTGGCCGTGCGCCTGGCATGCACTAACAAATTTGTGGTTGGCTGACAACCACCGTTGCCTTTGTTCGCCGCACGTGCCGGGAATGGCGGGCGGCAGCTTCGCAGCTCAAGGCTGTTTACGTTCCTAATGACAAGCAATGATGTGTCATTATGCCAGCGTGCAAATACACACAGAGCGAAGAAGAGGCTGAGTTTTTCTGCTCCGGAAGCTGGTGTGGGGAGGGCATCGGCGGCAGCAAAGCTGAAGGGCAAACAAACCGAGATGGGGGCAGTCAAGCCGTGCCCCTCGATACGGGTTATGGCTCCCGTTTTGCTTATTGGACGATCCCCCTTGCAAAATGTGCAGTTTGTCTGCCCTTTCTTGGGGAGAAGCTTGCTCTCTTGAGCGTTAGGATCCAGTGGTGAAAGCACGAGAAACTAGGAGACAGTGAGTTCCAGTCCCATCTTAAATAGGAAAGCTAGCTGGTTGACTCTGGACACATCACCAGGAGATGGTGAATTCTAGTTCTGCCTTAGGAATCAAAGCCGGCTGGGTGACTTTGGCCCAATCACCAGGAGATTGTGAGTTCTAGTCCTGCCTTAGGCATGAAGACCAGCTGGGTGACTTTGGCCCAATCACCAGGAGACTGGGAGTTCTAGTCCGGCCTTAGGCATGAAAGCCATCTGGGTGACTTTGGCCCAATCACCAGGAAACTGGGAGTTCTAGTCTTGCCTTAGGCATGAAACTAGCTGGGTGACTTTGGCCCAATTACCAGGAGACTGGGAGTTCTAGTCCTGCCTTAAGCATGAAAACCAGCTGGGTGACTTTGGCCCAATCACCAGAAGATTGTGAGTTCTAGTCCTGCCTTAGGCATGAAACTAGCTGGGTGACTTTGGCCCAATCACCAGGAGATTGTGAGTTCTAGTTCTGCCTTAGGCATGAAGGCCAGCTGGGTGACTTTGGGCCAATCACCAGGAGACTGGGAGTTCTAGTCCCGCCTTAGGCATGAAACTAGCTGGGTGACTTTGGCCCAATCACCAGGAGATTGTGAGTTCTAGTCCGGCCTTAGGCGTGAAAGCCAGCTAGGTGACTTTGAGCCAGTTCCTTTCCTTCACTCCAACCTACCTCATGGGGTTGTTGTTGTTGTTGTTGTGGGGAAAATCGGCGGAGGAAGGAGTTTGAACTACCTCGGTCTCCTTGAGTGATTTATAAAAAATAATCAAGCCAGGAGAAAAATGAAATAAATAAGAATAAGTACCCCAGAGAAAACAGGCAGGCTTCTGCCACGGAGATGGTAAAGCGGCAGAAGTCAAGGCGGAGGAAGACGCAGAGCCACGGGGAATGCCAGCCACGGAACGTGAGCCACGGAAAGGAGGACCTTCCTTGCTGGATTTAGACATTTTTAAGGGGTTTTCTTTTTTTTAATAGGGGCAAAATTCGAGGGTTTGGGGCTGTTCCATCGCTCAGCAGCTGAACCAGAGGCCCTTAGCGGGCGGGCGGGGGGGGGTGCTGGAGTGAGAAACAACTGGGGTGGGGGGGCGGCAGGGATGCTGGGCGCTCCGTTGCAAAGGGATGTCTTCCCAGCATCTGAATGAGAAGCTACAAAGGCAGCTTTCCAAGACGCAGCCAGGCGTGCCAGCCCCGGCAACGCAGCGAAGCAAATGTCAAATCGATTGCGATGGCATTTGGCCGACATTTCAACAATACCTGCTCCCCCTCCCAGCTGGGCTCCTGGGGCATCATTAGCTCGCCTGGAGCCGAGGAGCCCTGGGACACCCCCCCCCCCTTCCAAAGCTGCACGCCTTGCCTCTGGCCAGGGGCACCGAGGACAAAGAGGAAGGGTGTAAAATACGAGGAAACAGTCGGTGGAGGGGGGTGGGTGGAAGGAGTCCCTGGCTGAGATTTCTCGGAGTGTGTGTCCAGGGGTTTGTCAGAGGCCGAAGCAGTTAGCGGGGGGGGGGGGAGGAAGGAAGGAAGGAAGGAGAAAAAGGGACAAAGAGGAGAGGGAGTGAGAGAGGGAAGGAAGGAAGGAAATAAGGGGAGAAGGGGACAAAGAGGAGAAGGAAGGAAGGAAGGAAGGAAGGAAGGAAGGAAGGAAGGAAGGAAGGAAGGAAGGAAGAAAGAATGGAAGGAAGGAAAGGAAGGAAGGGGACAAAGGGAGGGAGGGAGAGAGGAGGGAAGGAAGGAAATAAGGGGAGAAGGGGACAAAGAGGAGAAGGAAGGAAGGAAGGAAGGAAGGAAGGAAGGAAAGGAAGGAAGGAAGGAAGGAAGGAAGGAAGGAAGGAAGGAAGGAAGGGGACAAAGGGAGGGAGGGAGAGAGGAGGGAAGGAAAGAAGGAAGGGGAGAAGGGGACAAAGGAGAAGGAAGGAAGGAGAGAAAGGATTAAAGAGGGAGGAAAGGAAGGAAGGACAAAGGAGGGGGAGGGAGGGAGAGAGGGAAGGAAGGAAGGGGAGAAGGGGACAAAAAGAAGGAAGGAGGATCAAAGAGGGAGGGAAGGAAGGAAGGAGAGGGACAAAGGAGAGGGAGGGAGGGAGAGAAAGGATCAAGGAGGGAAGGAAGGAGAGAAAGGGACAAAGGAGAGGGAGGGAAGGAAGGAAGAAAAGATGAGAGGGAAGGAAGGGAGAAAAAGGAACAAAGGAGAGGGAAGGGAGGGAGGGAGGAAGAAAAGAATGAGAGGGACAAAGGAGAAGGGAGGAAGGAAGGAAGAGAAAGGGACAAAGGAGAGGGAGGGAGAAGGAAGGAAGGGGAGAAGGGGACAGAGGAGAGGGAAGGAAGGAGAGAAAGGATCAAAGAGAGAGGGAAGGAAGGAGAGAAAGGGACAAAGGAGAGAGGGAAGGAAGGAAGGAAGAGAAGGACAAGGAAGAGGGAGGGAAGGAAGCATGAGAAAAAGGACAAAGGAGAGGGAAGGAAAGGAAAGGAAGGAGGGAGAAACGAGAGGGACAAAGGGAAGGAAGGAAGGAAGGAGAGAAGGGGACAAAAGGGAGACAGGAGAGGGAGGGAGGAAAGGGAGGAAGGAAGAGAAGGGGACAAAGAGGAGAGGGAGGGAGGAAAGGAGGAAGGAAGGAAAGGAGGAAGGAAGGAAGGAGAGAGGGACAGAGAGGAGAGGGAAGGAAGGAAGGAGAGAAAGGGACAAAGGAGAGGAAAGGAAGGAGGGAAGAGCTCCTCAGAGGGAGATCCTAGCTGGAATTTATAAGAAATTTCCTGACAGTTGAGATTACCGTAATTGTTCTCAATCAAGGGAACAGCTTCTCTCCAGACGTTCTGGGTGCTCCATCGCTGGAGGATTTCCAGAAGAGACTGGACAGCCCCTTGTCTGGAGTGGTATAAGGTCTCCTGCTGGAGCAGGGGGTTGGACTAGAAGACCTCCAAGGTCCCTTCCAGCTCTGTCGATCTATTATCCTCTCTCTTCGCTCTCCCTTGCCACCTGTCTGCCGGTTTCTCTCCCTCCCCCCCCCCAGATCTCTGGCACCTTTGATGTAATTAGGGAAAGAGGTTTGCTGCTTTGGCCGTTTATCACCAAGCCGTGCCATTTAATTACCGTAATTAATATACAATCGCTGGATTAATGAGAGACAGTCGGAGAGGCTCCTTGATCAAGATCAACTGAGCGGGAGGAATAAGGGCTTGGCTGGAGCCCAGGAGGAGGCGGAGAGGCGGCTCGGAGCTGCCTGGCAAGGCCTGCCAAGGACCCTCCCTCACAAAGCTGCACCCTTTGCTCAGACCAAAGACTTGTGTTGTGTTGCAAAGCTCTGCTGGCCCAGGGTGGGACATGCCAAGGCTCCCATTGATCACTTCTAAGTCATCTTTCGTCTGGATTGTTCTACGCTGATTCTACTCCAACTTAACAAAGTATGTTCTGTTCTATTCATTCTGAATTCTCTTCTCTTCTACTCTATTCTCCTCTCCTCTCCTCTTCTATTCTATATTCTCTTCTCTTCTATATTCTCTTCTCTTCTATATTCTCTTCTATATTCTTTTCTCTTCTCTTCTACTCTGTTCTATATTCTCTTCTCTTCTATGCTATTCTATATTCTCCTCTTCTCTTCTACTCTATTCTACATTCTCTTCTCCTCTTCTCTTCTCTTCTATTCTATTCTATATTCTCTTTTCTCTTCTATTCTATATCTCTTCTATTCTATATTCTCTTCTATATTCTCTTCTCTTCTACTCTGTTCTATATTCTCTTCTCTTCTATGCTATTCTATATTCTCCTCTCTTCTACTCTATTCTATATTCTATTCTATATTCTCTTCTCTTCTATATTCTCTTCTATTTATTCTGTTTTCTCTTCTATATTTTCTTCTATTCTATATTCTCTTCTCTTCTACTCTATTCTATATTCTCTTCTCTTCTACTCTATTCTATATTCTCTTCTCTTCTACATTCTCTTCTATTCTACTCTATTCTATATTGTCTTCTCTTCTATTCTGTATTCTCTTCTCTTCCATTCTCTTCTCTTCTCTTCTCTTCCATTCTATTCTATTCTATTCTATTCTATTCTATTCTATTCTATTCTATTCTATTGGAAGGGACCAACAGAGGCTTTCTAGTCCAGCCCCCTGCTCAAGCAGGAAACCTTATACCATTTCAGACAACTGGCTGTCCTGTCTCTTAATAAAAACCTCCAATGTTGGAGCACCCACACTTTCTGGGGGCCAGCTGTTCCACCGGTTAATTATTCCCACTCTCAGGAAATTCCTCCTTAGTTCCAGGTTGCTTCTATCCTTGATGGGTTTCCATTTGTTGCTTCTTGTCATTTTGGAGAATAGCTTGACTCCCTCTTCTTTGGGGCAGCCCCTCAGATACTGGAATACTGCTATCATGTCACCCCTCGTCCCTCTCTTCCTTAGACATTCCCCATTGGAATGTCTGGAAGGGAAGGGAAGAGAATGTAGAATAGAATAGAATAGAATAGAATAGAATAGAATAGAATAGAATAGAATAGAATAGAATAGAATAGAATAGAATAAGGAATAGAAAAGAATAGAATAGAATAGAATAGAATAGAATAGAATAGAATAGAATAGAAAATAGAATAGAATAGAATAGAATAAGGAATAGAATAGAATAGAATAGAATAGAATAGAATAGAATAGAATAGAAAATAGAATAGAATAGAATAGAATAGAGAATAGAATAGAATAGAATAGAATAAAATAGAATAAGGAATAGAATAGAATGGAATAGAATAGAATAGAATAGAAAATAGAATAGAATAGAATAGAATAGAATAGAATAGAATAGAATAAGGAATAGAATAGAATAAAATAGAATAGAATAGAATAGAATAGAATAGAATAGAATAGAATAGAATAGAATAAGGAATAGAATAAGGAATAGAATAGAATAGAATAGAATAGAATAGAATAGAATAGAATAGAATAGAATACTTTATTTGGCCAAGTGTGGTTAGACACACAAGGAATGTCTCTTTGGTGCAAAAGCTCTTAGTGTACATGTAAAACAGCAGAGTAATAATAATCATAATAATGATACTCAGAAGGTGGTGGGACAGATGAGAAGGATAATAACAATATAGCCCTACCATAAAGGCTGCCTTACTATTTTTACCTCTCGGTTGCTCTCCTCTACACTCTTTCTAGATCTGGATTGGTCGTAAGTCGAGGACTAACTGTACAGAATTCTTTCAAGGACAGAAGTAGGGAATTGGTGTTCCTGATGGGACCTGCCCTGTCCCGCTGTCTGCCCCCCTTTGCCAGTCCCCAAGTTGGAGTGGGTGCCCCATGACGCTTCTCTCTTCCCCCCCCCCCGCAGGTGCAGAACATCAGCCTTGCGGAAGGCGAGACAATCACCGTGGAGACCCTCGGCAGCCTGGAGCCCCTTCCCTTGGCCAATGAGTCCTTCCTGATGCGTGGTCAGGTGGTCCGTGGCCCCACCAATCAGGTGCTGGTCCGGTTCCAGAGCCCCTCCCCTGCCAACCCGGGGACCTTCCATTTCCACTTTGAAGGTAAGTGTCCCGCAGGGATGACGTTGAAGGACACTGGGGAGATGGAGGGCTTTTGGACAGAACTCAGGAAGGGTTGACCTTCAATCAGAACTCAGCTGGAAGGGACCTTGGAGGTCTTCCAGTCCAGCCCTCTGCTCAAACAGGAGACTCTGCACCACCCCAGACAGGTAGCTGCCAATCTCTTCTTCAAAATCTCCAGTGATGGAGCAGCCACAACGTCTGGAGGCAAGGTGTTCCACTGTATTCTGACTCTGATATAAAAACGCTTTCTTTTAAATCCAGTCAGATAGATAACTCAAAAGAAAAGATCTTATAATAAACAAAAAATATATTTATTAGAAAGATTATTTGCATTCACGCTGCGGCTGATACTCCTGGAAAATACATCCTTTGTCCATTTCTTTAGACCATTTCTTTAGGTAAAAGTATGATGCTCTTCCATGCCATCTTTATAACGGCTCAGGCTTGTGTGACCTTCCACCGCCCATGCTTCTTACAGACAAAGAGATTCCCATGTGGTTTGTGTCCAGGAAGTCTCCCAATGACCTTTTTGACTCCTCCCACTGACCCCTCAACATACCTAGCATTTAACCCAGTAACTGCCAGACACTCCAACACACTGATACCTGCTCTCTAGTTAGGGCTACACCCACGTGTCACCTATCCTCCGTGAGCTGCACTGGCTTCCTGTGGGTCTCCGGATGCAATTCAAGGTGTTGGTTATCACCTTTAAAGCCCTTCATAGCATAGGACCAGGTTACTTACAGGACCGCATACTGCCACATAGTTCCCAGAGACCGGTGAGGTCCCACAGATTGGGCCCCCTTCAGGTTCCGTCGGCCAGACGATGTCGGCCGGCGGGCCCTCGGGGACGGGCCTTTTCTGTGGTGGCTCCGACCTGGTGGAATCAACTTCCCCCCGAGATTCGAACTACTCCCACCTTGCCGGCCTTTAAGAAAGCCATTAAAACTCTCCTGTTCCAGCAGGCCTGGGGTTGATGTCCCGGGGAGGCTGGGATACAACTGGACACGCTGTATGAATGCACTTATTTTATTGTTTTATCGTTATATTTATTGTTTTAATTTTGTACGCCGCCCTGAGTCCCTAGGGATTGGGCGGCATATAAATTTTATTAATAAAATAAATAAATAAATAAATATACATTCCAGAATACACTGGTTCATTGTCCTCACTGTTGGGAAGTTTCTCCTTAATTCCAGGTTGCTTCTCTCCTTGATTAGTTTCTTGTCCTGCCTTCAGGGGCTTTGGAGAATAGTTTGACCCCCCCTCTTTTTGGGGGCAGCCCCTCAAATGCTGGAATACTGCTGTCATGTCACCCCTAGTCCTTCTTTTCTTTAGATTGTTGTTGTTGTTAGTTGCGAAGTCGTGTCCGACCCATCGCGACCCCACGGACAACGTTCCTCCAGGCCTTCCTGTCCTCTACCATCTTCTGGAGTCCATTTAAGCTCACGCCTCCTGCTTCAGTGACTCCCATCTAGCCATCTCATTCTCTGTCGTCCCGTTCTTCTATTGCCCTCAATCTTTCTTTAGACTGGCTGTACCCAATTCCTGCCACCGTTCTTCATAGGTTTTTGTCTCCAGGCCTTTGATCATCTTAGTTGCTCTTCTTTGCATTTTTTTCCCCAGAGTCTCAACATCTTTTTTACATGGTGGCGAGCAAAACTGGACTCAGTATTCCAAGTGTGGCCTTACCAAAGTCTTGTAGAGTGGTATTAACACTTCACGTGATTCTGATTCTATGCAGTCCTAGGCTGCATGAACAGAGGGATAGAATCAAGATCACGGGAAGAGTTAATACCACTTTACAAGGCCTTGATAAGGCGACACTTGGAACACGGCATCCATTTTTGGTCACCACGATGTAAGAAAAGATGTTGAGACTCTAGAAAGAGTACAGAGAAGAGCAACAAAGAGGATTAGGGGACTGGAGGCTAAAGCATAGAAGGAATACAGGGCGTCCTCAACGCACAGCTATTCATTTAGTGACCATTTGAAGTTACAACGGCACTGAAAAAGCAACCTACGACCGCGTTCAGAATTCAGACGCAAGGCACCTGACTCGTACTTACGACGATTGCAGTGTTCCAGGGTTCCTCTTTTGGGACCGTCTGACAAGCGAAGTCAGTGAGCAAGTCAGATTCACTTAACAACCGTGTGACTGGCTCAACAAGGGCAGAGATTCCCTAAGCAGCTGTGTGGCGAGGACAGTCGTAAAACGGGGCAAAATCCATCTCACGATTGTCTGGTTTAGCAACAGAAAGTTAGGACTCCGTTGTGGATGTAAGTCAAGGGCCACCGGTGGGGTCAGAGAAGGGCAGCCAAGCACATGCTTCAATGCACCGGCAGGGCCCCCAATGCTCCGTTGCCATGTGCACACACACCCCTCCCTACAACAGCAGCTATTGGGGTGCCACGATGCCAGGATTTTCCCTTGCAGCTGTAGAGCAATTAGCTAATTGGAAGCTTGCTAATCGCTGCAGGAGCTAATCGCTGACACTGCCAGGTTAAAGCGGGCACCTCTGAAGAAGCAACGTCTAATGAGGAGGTAATTGGCCCCAACAATTAACACAATTTGCACAGAGCGGGGGCGGGAAGCGGGGAGGACAGCTGTCACCGTACCTGCCTACACATAGCGTTTGCCGGAGCTTCCCTGCCATCCCATCATCCCAGGTACAGAGGCTTCCTGGTTCGCCCTGCTTGCAAAGAGAGCGGTCGAGTTCACACAATCCTAATCCTCGTGTTGGACAAGCGTGTTCGTCAAGGCCAGGATCCCCATCCTGGTGTCTTACCAGATAGGATGCATTAGAAACCCCATCCTCCCCAGCCAGCAGGGTAGATCAGTGGTCGCCTACCTATTAATACCACTTTACAAGGCCTTGGTAAGGCCACGTTGGAATGCTGCATCCAGTTTTGGTCACCACAATGTAAAAAAGATGCTGAGACTCTAGAAAGAGTACAGAGAAGAGCAACAAAGATGATTAGGGGACTGGAGGCTAAAACATATAAGGAACGGTTGCTGGAATTGGGAATGTCTAGTCTAACGAAGAGAAGGGCGAGGAGGCACATGATAGCAGTGTTCCAGTATCTCAGGGGCTGCCCCAAAGAAGAGGGAGTCAAGCTATTCCCCAAAGCGCCTGAAGGCAGGACAAGAAGCAATGGGTGGAAACCAATCAAGGAGAGAAGCAACCTGGAACTAAGGAGAAACTTCCTGACAGTGAGAACAATTAACCAGTGGAACCACCTGCCTCCAGAAACTGTGAATGCTCCAACATTGGAAGTTTTTAAGAAGAGACTGGACAGCCATTTGTCTGAAATGGTATAGCGTTTCCTGCCTGAGCAGGGGGTTGGACCAGATGACCTCCAAGATCCCTTCCAACTTTATTATTATTATTATTATTATTATTTCTAGTTTGGCGGCCTGGTAGAGGGGGAGAGAGGGGAGGGTTCCATGCCAGTGGCAGGCACATGCGCATGCACAGCTCCATTTGCACAAGAAGCAGGCGTAACACACGCTGTTCACACAAAACGGAACGGCGTGCAAGTTTAGCTGCACACGTGCACCGTGTGCCCTTGCCCACTGCTTGCATGGCTTGGTTTCTTGCTGCAGTTGTAAAGTGAATCACCGCAGAGGTTAAGGTAGTAGCACGGTCATTAAGTGGATCTGGATTCCCCCCTTGACTTTGCTCATCAGGTCGTAAAAGGGGATCATGTGAGCCCAGCATATTGTGACTGTCATAAAGACGAGCCAGTTGATAAACAACTGTACTGCGACCGTCATAAAGATGAGTCAGCTGTCAAATGTCTGTATTACGACCGTCATAAATACGAGTCAGCTGCCAAATGTCTGTACGACTGTCATAAATATGAGTCAGCTGCCAAATGTCTGTACTACGACCGTCATAAATACGAGTCAGCTGCCAAGCATCTGTACTGCGACCATCATAAATACAAGGCAGCTGATAAACATCTGTACTGCACCTGTCATAAATACGAGTCAGCTGTCAAATGTCTGTAGTACGACCGTCATAAATACGAGTCAGCTGCCAAATGTCTGTACTACAACTGTCATAAATATGAGTCAGTTGCCAAAGGTCTGTACTACGACCGTCATAAATATGAGTCAGTTGCCAAAGGTCTGTACTACGACCGTCATAAATATGAGTCAGCTGCCAAGCATCTGTACTGCGATCATCATAAATACGAGCAATCTGATAAACATCTGTACTGCACCCGTCATAAATACGAGCCAGCTGCCAAGCGTCTGAATTTTGATCACGTGACCGCAGTGATGTGCAATGGTGATAAGTGTGAAAAACGGTCAAAAGTGCCTTTTTTCACTGCTGTTGTAACTTCGAAGGTCACTAAATGAACTGACACCACCAGCTTCTGGGGGGGGGGATATTTTTGTCTGAAAAAAGAGTCTCCCACCATCACCGGCAAGCCGGGCCAATGGAAAGGCAGGATCAGAGGGGCTCCTGTGGTTGTTAAGGCAACAAGCCCCTGCAAATGGCACCGGGAGAATGGCAAAAATTGTATCATCTGGGATTATAGCTTCAAATGGGAAAATTGCAGGAAGTCCGAGGCGGCAGGCAGCAGATAAATCTCTCGACAGGCAGCAACTGCAAAGGGAAAGCCTCCTTGTGGAGTTACAGGTAGTCCTCGACGTGTGACCGCTCAAAGTTACAGTGGCCCTGGAAAAACTAACTTGGAACCACTTTCCACACAATCATTCCAGCCTCCCCGTGTCGCGTGAACCAAATTTGGAAGTTTGGGCAAACTGGCTCGCATTTACAACGGTGGCCGTGTCCTAGGGTCACGTGGTCCCCCTTTTGCGACCTGGCAGGCAAATTCACTGTCTTTAAGAAGAGACTGGACGGCCATTTGTCTGAAATGGTCTAGGGTTTCCTGCCTGAGCAGGGGGTTGGACCAGATGACCTCCAAGGTCCCTTCCAACTTTACTACTACTATTATTGTTGTTGTTGTTGTTGTTGTTGTTGTTGTTGTTGTTATTATTATTATTATTATTATTATTATTATTATTATTATTATTATCTCCCGCCCTGCCTGCCCGCAGGGCCACTGACCACCTCCAGGGCCCACTGCAGATCACCCAGGCAGCCCAGCAATGCTATGGCGGTCACGCTGTCTGCCCACACCTTGCAGCATCAGCTGTGCACAATGGAGTGTGAGGGCAGAGTCTTGTCTACGCTGCCTGGCTGCCATGTCCTTGGCTGCACTGCTCTGCGTGGGCCACGTTCAGGGGCGATTCTCCTCCAGGGGGGCTGCTGGGGAGGAGGAGGTCGCGGGGGAGGCGAGGCTGGGGCAACGGCACGTGTGCCCACGGAGAGAGCTCCGAGTGCCGCCTCTGGCACCTGTGTCACAGGTTTGCCACCGCTGCACTAAGGGAACTGACACTAAAGGGAAACAACACTAATCTTAAGTCAGTGGCCCGCAACCTTTTGAGCACCAGGGACCAGTTCCGTGGAGAGAGGACCGGAGGGGACATGGTTTTATGTGTTGCCTGCATCTCACGTATGGGGCTTTGCTTGTTTGTGCGGCCTGGTTTCTGACATGCTGTGGGCCGGTGCTGGTCCTTGACCCAGGTGTCGGGGACCCCTACAGTAAGCCACTGTCTGTATCTCTCTTCTGTGTCCAGCGTACATGCTGAGCTGTGCCTTCCCTGCGCGGCCGGCGTACGGCGACGTCTCTGTCAGCAGCACTCATCCGGGAGGCCAAGCGTGCTTCTCCTGCGTTGTGGGGTACCAGTTGGTGGGGAAGCCCTGCCTGTCATGCCTCAATGCCACCCACCCCTTCTGGAGCCGCCAGGAGCCCACCTGCGTCGGTAAGTCAGCCAGGGGTCCAGTAACAGAGCAGGGAAGGGGGCGCCACGCCGGATGTGGACCCCAACTGGCATTGCCCGTTCGGTGCTCTTCTTGCAGCGGCGTGTGGAGGGGTGATCCAGAACGCCACCACTGGGCGCGTCGTGTCGCCAGGATTCCCGGCCAACTACAGCAATAACCTCACCTGCCACTGGGTGTTGGAGGCGCCACCTGGGCAGCGGCTGCACCTGCATTTCGAAAAGGTTTCCTTAGCAGAGGATGACGACAGGTGGGTCCTCAGAGGGTGGAAGGGCAAGGATGGGGGAGCGAGGTCTTTTGTTGAGGCTGGTGAGGTTCCCCCCCCAAAAAAGAGTGTTTTGCTGGTATCTTGATTGCTTCCTCACCACAGCCCTTTGAGGGGAAAGAGAGTGCACCTTGCTAGCTGGGGAATTCTGGGAGTGGAGGTCCACCCCTCTTAAAGCAGGCTGGCTGAGGAATTCTGGGAATGGAAGCCCACCCCTCTTAAAGCATCCTGGCTGGGGGATTCTGGGAGTGGAAGTCCACTCCTCTTAAAGCAGGCTGGCTGGGGGATTCTGGGAGTGGAAACCCACCCCTCTTAAAGCAGGCTGGCTGGGGGATTCTGGGAGTGGAAGTCCACCCCTCTTAAAGCAGGATGGCTGGGGGATTCTGGGAGTGGAAGTCCACCCCTCTTAAAGCAGGAGGGCTGGGGGATTCTGGGAGTGGAAGTCCACCCCTCTTAAAGCAGGATGGGCGGGGAATTCTGGGAGCTGAACATCCATCTGAAATCTGCCAAGGTCAAGAAACCTTTTTCTAGAGGAATGGCATATCCAGTCTACAACATGGGGGTTCAACGGTCAAGACCCTCCGACAGGGCTCCTCTTTTGCCCCCTGCTGTACCCCCCCCCAGAAACAACTTTCATCCTACTCAGATTAATCCTCCCAGCACCTGATTGGGATGTCCAGAGAGGGGTGGGTAAAATAACCCGGATTTTACCCACTGCCATATACAGAGAGCCCTTGACTTACGTTTGACTTAAGCTTGTGATCGTTGGAAGTTACAAAAGCACTAAGAAAATAATAACTTACCACCTTTTCACACACTTACGACCGTTGCAGCACCCCCGTGGTCACGTGATTAACATTTGGATGCAACATCCCAGATTCAAACGATCCCTTTTTGTGACCGTCTGACTAGCCAGGTCAATGCGGAATCCAGTTTCACTTAACGACCGTGTGACGAACTTAACCACCGCAGCAATTCACTTAGTAACGGTGGCAAAAAAGATCGTAAAATTTGGGGGGAGTCACCTAAATGTCTTGCTTAGCAACGGAAATGTTGGTTTCAATTGCAGTCGTAAGTCGAGGTGTACCTTTGATCAAACTCTGCCCTGTTTTTACCGTACTGCAGCACCCGTCAAGCGAAGGGCAATCCCACGACTGGGGGGGTCCCCGTTTTGGACCCCCCCCCGTTCCCCCAAATCCTGGAGTTCTCGGGACTCCCAGAAATGAGATCTGCCCCTCTTTGTTGCAGGCTTATAATCCGTAATGGCAACAACATTGAGGCGCCTCCGGTGTACGACTCGTACGAGGTCGAGTATCTGCCTATCGAGGGGCTGGTCAGCACCAGCCGTGGTTTCTTCATCGAGTTTTCCACAGATAGTGGTGGTGTGGCCGCCGGCGTGGCCCTGCGCTATGAGGGTGAGTGGCCCAGAAGAGCTGGGGTCCCCCCCAAGGCCTTGCCAACCTGTTGCAGGGGGTTCGACTAGAACAGGGGTAGGCAACCTTGGCTGTTTTATGATTTGTGGACTTCAACTCCCAGAATTCCTGAGCCAGCCATGCTGAGGGGAAAGGGTGAGGTTTACATGCTGAGACATGCTGCCTCAGGAATTCTGGGAGTTGAAGTCTACCAGTCATGAAGGGGGCCATAGTTCCCCCATGCTGGCTCAGGAATTCTGGGAGTTGAAGTCCGCCAGTCATGAAGGGGGCCATAGTTCCCCCATGCTGGCTCAGGAATTCTGGGAGTTGAAGTCCACCAGTCATAAAAGAGCCAAGGTTGCCTAACCCTGGACTAGAAGACCTCCACGGTCCCGTCCAACTCTGTTAAACCTGTTGCCCTTCCCCGCTTCCACTGTGCTGGCTGAGGCTGATGGGAACTGTAGTCCGGGGGCCAGTCCTGCTAAAGGAAGCAGACCAAGGCCTTCTCCGCCCATTTCTGCCCTTTGCAGCCTTCCGGCCCGGCCACTGCTACGAGCCCTTCGTCAAGTACGGGAACTTCACCTCCAGCAACGGCAGCTACAAAGTGGGCACCACGGTGGAGTTTGCCTGCGAGCCCGGCTACACCCTGGAGCAAGGCTCGGTCATCATTGAGTGCGTGGACCCCGCCAACCCGCAATGGAACGAGACGGAGCCGGCCTGCCGAGGTGAGGGAGGGGGAGGGGCAGGGCTGGAGGAAGGCCCACCATTCTGGTTTGTCAGGTGCCAAAGACCCGCTGATCCGTTGCTACTCACGCCTAGGCAGGGGAGACTTCCCAACTCGTGGTCAGCACCTGCTTGGAGTTAGGAAGTGTCAGTGGAATTCAAGGATGGCTGGACTTACTTAGTTCACTTATGGCTACGCAGAGATTCTAGGCTAATGCCTCTTTTGACTCTGCCACTCCTTCTCCTACACGGCTTTCCTTCTCAATTTTTTCACTTTCACATTTTTCCTGCCTCCCTGCCTCCCTCCCATTCCTATCTTAACAAAGGGGAAGGAAAGAAGGAAGGAAAGAGGGATAGAGGGAGGGAGGAGGGTAGGAAGGAAGGGAGGGAGAGGAGAGAGGGAAGGAAGGAGGAAGGGAGGGAAGCAGGGAGGGAGTAAAGAAGGAAGGAGGGAGAGAGGGAGAAAGGTAGGAAGGGAGGGAGGGAGGGAGGGAGAGGAGTGAGAAGAGAGGGAAGGAAGGAGGGAGGGAGGGAGGGAGGGAGGGAAGGAGGGAAGGAAGGAGGGAGGAGGGAGGAAAGAAGGAAGGAAGGAGGGAGGGAGGAGGGTAGCAAGGAAGGGAGGGAGGAGAGGAAGGAGGGAAGGTGGGAAGGAGGGAGGGAGGAAAGGGTGGGAAGAAGGAAGGAAGGAGGGAGGGAGAAAGGGAGGAGGGTAGGAAGGAAGGGAGGGAGGGAGGAGAGAGGAAAGGAAGGAGGGAGGGAAGGAAGGAAGGAGGGAGAGAGGGAGGGAGGAGCGTAGGAAGGGAGGGAGAGAGAGGAGGGAGGAGAGAGGGAAGGAAGGGAAGGAAGGAGGGAGGAAGGAAAGAAGGAAGGAAGGAGGGAGAGAGGGAGGGAGGAGGGTAGGAAGGAAAGAAGGAGGGAGGGAAGGAAGGAGGGAGGGAGGAAAGAAGGAAGGAGGGAGAGAGGGAGGGAGGAGGGTAGGAAGGAAGGGAGGGAGGGAGAGAGGGATGGAAGGAGGGAGGGAGGAAAGGAAGGAAGGAAGGAAGGAAGAAAGAAAGAGAAAGAAGGAAAGGGAGGGAGGAAGGAAGGAAGGAAGGAAGGAAGGAAGGAAGGAAGGAAGGAAGGAAGGAAGGAAGGAAGGAAGGAAGGAAGGAAGGAAAGAAGGGATCGAAAAAACCAGCACTGACAAGGCTGGTAACCCAACCCAGGTGTGTGACTTGTTTCTCCCCTGTGTCCCAACAGCTGTGTGCAGTGGGGAGATCACAGATGCATCCGGAGTGGTTTTATCCCCCAACTGGCCCGAGCCGTATGGAAAAGGGCAGGACTGCATCTGGGGGGTCCACGTGGAGGAGGACAAGCGCATCATGCTGGACATACGTGTGTGAGTGGATGGCTTCTCCCTCCCCCTCTTTCGCACCCGGACCGGGCTCTCATTAAGGCGGGCAAACCAAGAGCAGGGCAGCCCAGGGCCCTCCCACACCTCAATCCTCGATTTACGACGACAACTGAGTCCAGAATTCCTCTTGCTAAGCAAGGCGGTTGTTAAGCGAGTTGCGCCTCATTTTACGACCCTATTGGCCCCGGTTGCTAAGCAAATCACTGCCGTTGTTAAGTGAATCACATCGAATAGAATAGAATAGAATAGAATTACAGAGTTGAAAAGGAGCTTGGAGGTCATCTAGTCCAACCCCCTGCTCAGGTAGGAAACACTATACCATTTCAGAGAAAGGGCTGTCCAGTTTCTTCTTAAAAACTTCCCCTGTTGGAGCAACCTCAATTTCTGGAAACAAGCTGTTCCACAGATGAATTGTTCTCATTGTCAGGAAAATATAATAATAATAGTAATAGTAATAATAATAATAATATAAAAATAAAAATAATAATAATAAAGTTGGAAGGGATCTTGAAGGTCATCTAGTCCAACCCCCTGCTCAGGCAGGAAATCCTATACCATTTCAGACAAAGGGCTGTCCAGTCTCTTTTTCAAAACTTCCAGTGTTGGAGCCTTCACAGCTTCTGGAGGCAAGGAGTTCCACTGGTTAATTGCTGGGAAAAATAGAGAATAAAATCCAACTGACAACCCAATTATCGGCGTTCCCGTGCCCGCGGTTTCCTTCTGCGCAGCTGTGAATTTGGCAGAGGGCTCCCTTGTTGACGCAGCCCCCTTTCTACCCCCTCCCCCACAAATCCCTCCCCCCCGCTTGTCCTGAAAGGTTGCGTTTGGGCAAAGGGGACACGCTGACCTTCTACGACGGGGATGACCTGACGGCCCGCATCCTGGGCCAGTATTCCGGCTCCCACCGGCCCTTCCAGCTCTTCACCTCCATGGCCGACGTCACCATCCAGTTCCAGTCGGATCCGGGAAGCAGCGCCGTCGGTTACCGGCAGGGTTTCATCGTCCATTTTGCCGGTAAGCGGAGCAGCTGCCTTCTCTTCAGACACATCCCTCCCCCTCGCCAAAAGGCCTTCTCGGCTGAGCTTCCGACATTTGGGGGGGGGTTGCGATTGCAGATCGTCCTCGATTGAGCCCCCCAAATTTCTGTCACCAAGCGAGACAGTCGTAGAGTGAGTTTCTACCCCATTTTACGACTTCTCTGGCCTCCGTTGGTAAGAGAGCCCCTGCGGTTGTGAAGTGAGTCACACGGTCGCTAAGCGAAGCTGGCTTCCCCCCATTGACTTGGCTTGCCGGAAGGTCACGTGACACTGTCCCCGGGACACGGCAACTGTCATAAGTACATGCCAGTTGCCAAGTGTCCGCATTCCGATCATGTGATCACGGGGAGGCTGCAATGGTGGCTAAGCGTGAAAAGAGATCCTAAGTTATTTTTTTCAGGGCTGCTGTAAATTCGGACAGTCACTAAACAAATGGTCGTAAGTTGAGGATTACCTTTACTGCTCCTGATGCTGGAGGCAATACCTAGCCATTCGTTTACACCTGGGGTGGGGAACTATGGCCCCTTGATGACTGGTGGACTTCAACTCCCAGAATTCCTGAGCCAGCCACAAGTTGAAATCCACAAATCTATTCTATTCTATTCTATTCTATTCTATTCTATTCTATTCTATTCTATTCTATTCTATTCTATTCCATCCCATAATTCTATACTATTCTATTTTCTATTGTATTCTATTCTATTTTTTATATTCTATTCTATTCTTTTTTCTATTCTTTTTTCTGTTCTATTTTCTATTCTATTCTTTTTTCTATTCTATTTTCTTTTCTATTCTATTCTATTCCATCCCATAATTCTATACTATTCTATTTTCTATTGTATTCTATTCTATTTTTTATATTCTATTCTATTCTTTTTTCTGTTCTATTCTATTTTCTATTCTATTCTTTTTTCTATTCTATTCTATTCTATTCCATCCCATAATTCTATTCTATTCTATTCTATTCTATTCTATTCTATTCTATTCTATTCTATTCCATCCCATAATTCTATTCCATTCTATTTTCTATTCTATTCTATTCTATTTCTATTCTATTCTATTTCTATTCCATCCCATAATTCTATTCTATTCTATTCTATTCTATTCTATTCTATTCTATTCTATTCTTTTTTTCTATTCTATTCTATTGTATTCTTTTTTCTATTCTGTTCTGTTCTATTCTATTCATTCTGGATTCTGTTCTCTTCTATTCTATTTTTATATTTCTGCGGAGATACGGTTTGTGCAACCAAGAGGAACTGACCGCCTCCCCCTACTTGCAGACTTCCCACTGGGCTGGGTGTGGGTTAAAAGAGGCTCTCCTCCCCCACCCCCCAACCAGCTTCCAAGGCATCCCTTGCCAGCCGCCTTCTCTCTTCTTCCTTGGCAGAGGTTCCACGCAATGACACTTGCCCGGAGCTGCCGGAAATTCCCAACGGCTGGAAGACCACCTCGCACCCAGAGCTGATCCACGGGGCTGTGGTTACCTACCACTGCTACCCTGGCTATGAGCTGGTGGGCACGGAGCTCCTGATGTGCCACTGGGACCTGGTGTGGAGCGGGGACTTGCCCTCCTGCCAGAAAGGTGAGGGGGTGGGGGGGTGGGGAGGAAGATCTGGGGCCGGGAGGGGTGGAGGAGGAGGAGGAGGGGAGGAGGAGGAGGAAGAGGAGGAGGAGGAGGAAAAATAATCTATGGGGTCTTCGGTGCTCTCTGAGCTTGGATGTTTTCTTGCAGACGTTTCATGACCCAACTAGAGAATGTTATCAGTGCTAGAAGGGAGTGGGGTTTATGGAGAGGAGGAGGAGGAGGAGGAGGAGGAGGAGGAGGAGGAGGAGGAGGAGGAGAACTGTGGAGTCCCTGATGCTTCACTGAACTTGGTTATTTACTTGCAGACGTTTCATTATCCCACTAGGGAACATCATCCGTGCGTTCGGGTGGGGGTTTTGTTCCCTGTTTATATAAGTAACTTGCTCTGCCAATGTGTGTGTGTGTGTGTGTTCTTTCCTCAATAGGGTTTTAATTTATTTTAAGAGGGTTTGCTGTCCACAGTCTCTTGCTGAGATGGGCAGCGTACAAATAAAAAAAAAATGCAAACACGGGAAGGAGCTTCGATCCCATGTTGGTGGCCCCCACCTTCTTGACCCCCCCCCCGCCTTCTGGATGCCCCCATTGACGGCGGCTCCTTCTGGGTCCCCACTCCATGCCCCTGCCTGGGGGAATTGTGATGGCCCTTGTTTGTGTGTGCTGTGTGTATTTGTGTGTGTGTGTGTGTGTGAGAGAGAGAGGGGGGGGGAGAGAAAGAGAGGAAGAGAGAAAGAAAGAGAGAGAAAAAGAGAGAAAGAGAGGGAGGGAGAAATAGAGAGAGGGAGAGAGAAAGGGAGAGAGAGAAAGAAAGAAAGGGAGAGAGAGAGAGAAAGAGAGAAGGGGAGGGAGAGAGAGAGGGAGGGAGAGAGAAAGAGGGAGAGAGAGAGAGAAAGAGAAAGAGAGGGAGAGAGAGAGAAAGAGAGGGAGGGAGGGAGAGAGAGAGAAAAAAAGAGAGGGAGGGAGAGAGAAAAAGAGAGATAGGGATGGAGGGAGAGAGAGAGAAAGAGAGAGGGGGGAGTGAGAGAGAGAAAAAAGAGAGAGAGAGAGAGAGAGGGAGGGAGGGAGGGAGGGAGATGGGGAATACATGGCTGATGGTTTTCGCTCCTCCTCTCTTTAGTATCCTAAACTACGAAATGGGCAAAATAAGAGTTTAAAATCCTCTGGATTTTTTTGGGGGGGGGGGTGGAGGGAACATATCATGAGTACCCCAGGAAAAAAGCTCCCACGTTTTAAAACAGCCATAAGGGATGCTGAGTCAACCTTTAGATGTTGATTGACAGCTGCTTTCCAGGAATTTAGCGCAAGGGTGTCCAACCTGGGCTGCTTTCAGACTTGTGGACTTCAACTCCCAGAATTCCCCAGCCAGCCATGGCTGGCTGGGGAATTCTGGGAGTTGAAGTCCACAAGTCTGAAAGCAGCCCAGGATTGGACAGCCCTGATTTAGAAGGCTTCCCCAGAAGCTAAACCTGGCTTAGATCCTCCCTGCAAAGAAGGAAGAGGGAGGACCCCAACGGCAGAAGGGTTTTGGGGAGGGGGTGGGACCCCAATAGTCAGGGCATCCAAGTGGGGTGGTCACATTTCCTAAAAGCTGCTCTATTGTGGTGGTAAGAACCACTTCCGGCTTTATGCTGGGTGCATCAAGAGCTCCCCCAGCTGGTCGACGAGAGGATCGCGGCCCAAAATATTACAAAACCCATTTTATGACCGCTGGGAGTTACGTCCAGGATGGTCAGGCTCTGTAACTATTGTAACCTGAGGACTATCTGTACACCTTCCTTTTTTTCCCCTGTCTCTTTCAGTGCAACAGTTCATTTAGTGACCGTTCCGAGGTATAACGGCACTGCAAAAAGTGACTTAGGACCCTTTTTCGGACTTACGACCGTTGCAGTCATGTGACTGTGGCCCAAAATTCAGAAACTTGGCCACTGACTCAGATTTACGACAGTCGCAATGTCCCGGGGTCGGGGGATCCCCTTTTCCAACCTCCTGACAAGCAAAATCAGTGGGGGGAAGCTAGATTCATTTAACGACCGTGTGACTAACCTGCAGCAATTCACTTAACAACAGTGCTAAGAAAGGTCGTAAAATGGGGCAAGTTGAGAACTGCCTGCATTTATGACAGTTGCAGAGTCCCAGGGACAGGTAGTAGTAGTAGTAGCAGCAGTAGTAGTAGTAATAATAACAGCAACAACAATAGCAACAAAACAATAATAACAATAACAACAACAACAACAAAACAATAACTATAACAACAACAAAACAACAACAACAGAGGGAGGCTCAGCCAATTTCACTGTATGCATGTTATACTTTGATAATAAAGGGTTTATTATTATTATTAACAACAACAACAACAATAATAATAATAATAATGTTGGAAGGGGCCTTGGAGGTCATCTAGCCCAACCCCCCCCCACTCAGGCTGGAAAGATCCGCTTAACAACCGTGTTCCTCACTTAACAACTGCAGCGATTCACTTAACAGTGGTAAGAAAGGTCGTAAAATGGGACAAAGCTCACTGAACGACTGTCTCGCTTAGCAACAGAAGTGTTTGGCTCAATTTTTGTGGTCGTACGTCGAGGACTACCTGTATGCGTGTGTGTGTGTTTGTGCGCGTGTGTGTGTATGTATGTGTATAATTCCACGCCCTGTTGATTATTGTCGTAACTGGAGGACTACTTGTAAAAGATGGGGTGTGGGTGCTTATGTAGCCCTGTCCAGGCCCTGCGCAAACAGCTGCTGAGTGTAGACCCCCCCTCCCCAAAATAGACACAGGCTGCCCACTCCGCCCGGGGGTCTCCCTCTGCTTTGCCTGTCGGTTCTTCCTTTGTCACACAAAAGCAGATCCCCTGTCCCAGGGACATGGCGACCGTCGTAACTAGGAGTCGGTTGCCAAGGATCCGGAATTTTGAGCACCCTCGTTGTCTTTATCTCTCACAGTGACGGCGTGTCCGGACCCCGGAGATGTGGAGCACAGCCGACGCGTGGTGTCCACCAGCAAGTTTCCAGTGGGCTCCACCATCCAGTTCCTCTGCGACGGGGGCTTCGTCCTGGCTGGTGCTGCAGAGATCGCCTGCCACGACCGGCCGGCTGGGGGTCCGAAGTGGAGTGACCGTCTGCCCAAATGCATCCGTAAGGCTTCCACCTAGACACAGGGGTAGGCGACCTGGGCCCCTTCATGACTGGTGGACTTCAACTCCCAGAATTCCTCAGCCAGCATGGGGGAACTGTGGCCCCCTTCATGACTCACGGACTTCAACTCCCAGAATTCCTGAGGCAGCATGGGGGAACTATGGCCACCTTCATGACTCAACGGACTTCAACTCCCAGAATTCCTGAGCCAGCATGGGGGAACTATGGCCACCTTCATGACTCAACGGACTTCAACTCCCAGAATTCCTGAGCCAGCATGGGGGAACTATGGCCCCTTCGTGTCTCGTGGACTTCAACTCCCAGAATTCCTGAGCCAGCATGGGGGAACTATGGCCCCTTCGTGTCTCATGGACTTCAACTCCCAGAATTCCTGAGGCAGCATGGGGGAACAATGGCCCCCTTCATGACTTGCGGACTTCAACTCCCAGAATTCCTGAGCCAACATGGGGGAGCTATGGCCCCTTCATGTCTCGTGGACTTCAACTCCCAGAATTCTTGAGCAACATGGGGGAACTATGGCCCCCTTCATGACTTGAAATCCACAAGTCATGAAAGGGCCAAGTTGGAAGACCCCTGTCTTAAAACATCCTGGCTGAGGAATTCTGGGAGTTGAAGTCCACTAGTCATCAAAGGGCCACGCTTGAAGACCCCTGACTTAACGACTTTAAGATGTGTGGACTTCAACTCCCAGCATTCCTCAGCCAGCACAGGAATTCTGGGAGTTGAAGTCCACCCATCTCCAAGTTGCAAGGAGGAGAAACGTTGTTTTAAAGGCTCCCCTGTTCCTCAAGGGGCAGACTAGAAATCTAAACACCAACGGGCAGAACCGGACTGGCAAGGAAAGGAGTTCGAATCCTGTCCTTCTCTTCTTCCAGCCGAGGTCTACGAACCCTGCCGCAACCCGGGCGGACCTGAACACAGCACTCAGCATCCCGAAAAGCGGCTCTACCAAACCGGGGCCAGCCTGCGCTTCACCTGTGCCGCCGGCTACCTGCTGCTGGGCAACGCCGTCGTCCGATGCCTACCTGGGCACCCCTCTCACTGGAGTGGCCCTCCCCCGCTTTGCAAAACTGGTCAGTTTCCGGGGTGGCGGGGGGGGGGCAAGGATGAGGGTCAGCCGCCAGCTCCGGCATCCTTTGCACGAAGTAGGCAGATCCCACTTACTAGAGGTAGTCCCCAACTTAGGATGGTTCATTTAGTGACCGTTCATAGTTACAGCGCACCGGGAAAAAGTGACTTATGACCGTTTTTCACACTTAACGACCGTTGCAGCATTCCCCAGGGTCACGGGATCAAAATTCAGATACTTAGCAACCGACTCGTATTGATGACGGTTGCAGCGTCCCGGGGGGGGGAGTCACGTGATTCAGCTTTTGCAACCTTCCGACCAGCAAAGTCAACGGGGGAAGCTGGATTCACTTAACGAGCATGTGACTCGCTTAACGACTGCCTGATTCGCTTACCAGAAAAATGGTAAAACGGAGCGAAACTCGCTGAACGAATGTTTCACTTAGCGACATCAGTATTGGGCTCCACTGTGGTGGTAACTCGAGGGCTATCTGTATTTTTTAATTGATTTAATTTTATTTCATTTTATTTGTTTAATTTTATTTATTTAGTGATAGATAGATAGATAGATAGATGGATGGATAGATGGATGGATGGATGGATGGATGGATGGATGATAGATAGATAGACAGACAGATAGACATAGACATAGACATAGACATAGACATAGACATAGACCAGAGGTAGGCAACCATGGCTCTTTTATGACTCATGGATTTCAACTCCCAGAATTCCTGAGCCAGCCATGCTGAGGGGAAAGGGAGAGGTTGAGCCATGCTGGCTCAGGAATTCTAGGAGTTGAAGTCCACGAGTCATAAAGAGCCAAGGTTGCTTGCCCCTGACATAGATAGATAGATAGATAGATAGATAGATAGATAGATAGATAGATAGATAGATAGATAGATAGATAGATAGATAGACAGACAGACAGACAGACAGACATAGACATAGACATAGACATAGACATAGACAGACAGATATAGATAGACAGACAGACAGACAGACAGACAGACAGACAGTCATAGACAGACAGATAGATATAGATATATATAGACCAGTGGTTCTCAACCTTTCTAATGCCGCGACCCCATAATACAGTTCCCCATGTTGTGGTGACCCCCAACCACTTATACATCACCGGGTGCCAGGGGCGTGGCCAAAGAAAAGGGGAAAAAAATGGCGGACAGCCTTGTTTGGCGACCCCCGTGAAATGGTCGTTCGACCCCAAATAGGGTCCCGACCCACAGGTGGAGAACCACTGATACAGAGAGAGAGAGAGAGAGATAGACAGAAAGACAGACAGACAGACATAGACAGACACACAGACAGACAGACAGATAGATATAGATATAGATATATAGAGAGATAGAGAGATAGATATATAGAGAGACAGACAGACAGACAGACAGACATAGACAGACAGACAGACAGATAGATATAGATATATAGAGAGATAGATATATAGAGAGACAGACAGACAGAGAGAGACAGACAGACAGACAGACAGACATAGACAGACAGACAGACAGACAGACAGATAGATATAGATATAGAGAGAGATAGATATATAGAGAGACAGACAGACAGTCATAGACAGACAGGCAGATATATATATATATAGAGAGAGAGAGAGACAAACAGACAGACAGGCAGACAGACAGACAGATAGCAACGCTGGTTGGGGAATTCTGGGAGTTGAAGTCCGCCCATCTTAAAGGGGCTGCGGTTGACAAATATTCTGGGATCTGAGAATCACTCTGGGAATTGCCAGCTCGCTAGGCCCCTCCGTAATGCCGCCCTCTGCTTCTCTTCCAGCCTCCAGCAATGAGTTTCATGCCAACCCGAAACTGGATGGTAAGACTGGAAGGGGGGATCCTAAAGACGGCCTTTGCCCGCCCTGCTGCTGCTTTCTTCCGCTGGGGGGGGGGAGCGTGCAGGATGGCGAAGTGCAATCAGACTCTGCCGGTGTTTGTTGACATCCAGCTGGCTGCCCCTGCCTTGCTTTTTCTGACGTGCCCCAGAGGTCAACAACCCCTTTAGGGCTGAGCTTTTGGGGTCTCGCTCTCCTCCCCTCCCTCTGCTGCCTTGCCCCCCAAAACTCACCCTCCCGCTTCTTCCTGCAGCTGTGGCCAAGGTGATGCCAGCCAGGGACCCCTGGCAAGGGTCTAGCGTGGCCTTTGCCATCTTCCTACCGGTGGCTGTCGTTGGGTTGCTTCTGGGCACCGTCTACCTGTACGTTTCCAGGTGAGCGGCGGTGGCTGGGTGGGAGAGCTGACCGGAAGGGGGGGGTACACAGCCCCCCCTCTCACGTGTCTTGACCCCAGTCTCCTTCCTTCCTCGCTGGCTGCCCAGGCATCAGGGGAAGTCATCGCTGCCGGCACCCCTGTCAACGTCACAATCCTACGACCACATCCGAGGCGGTGCGGCTTTTGACAACCCCACGTATGACACTCGAGTAAGTGGGTGCCCCTCCCTTCCCCAGCTGTGCTAGAGAGGGAAGCAAGAGGGCCAATGGAGTGGGGTAGAGGGTCTTATATTAATAATAATAATAATAATAATAATAATAATAATAATAATAATAATAATGAAAGTCATAGAAAATGATAAAATTAAACTGCTCTGGGACTTCACAATTCAAACAGACAAGCACCTGCAACATAACACCCCAGACTTAACAATTGTCGATAAGAAAGACAAAAAAGTCTGGATAGTGGACGTGGCAGTGCCTGGAGACAGCAGAATAGACGAGAAAGAACTGGAGAAGATAACAAAATACAAAGACCTACAAATAGAAATAGAAAGACTGTGGCAAAAGCAAGCAAGAGTAGTACCCATAGTCATAGGCGCCTTGGGTGCAATCCCAAAACAACTGGAGCACCACTTGAACACCATTGGCATTGACAAATTCGCCATGAGTCAATTGCAAAAGGCGGCTTTACTAGGAACTGCTTCCATCCTGCGACGATATCTGTAATACCATCAAACATCCACATCTGCCTATCCCAGGTCCTCGGTAAGGACTCAATAGGTAGACAAAATGCCAAATCCAGTCTGATTATCTGGCTGACTGTGCGATGATCCAAAATAATAATAATAATAATATAGCCAAGATATTGTAATGGAGTTTGGCTTGGACAAATGTGCCACACTTACTATCAAACAAGGAAAAATAGTGAAAACTGAAGGAATCAAGATGCCCCATGAAAATAACATTAAGAGTCTGGATGAGGAAGAGTACTACAAATACTTGGGTATCCTTCAAGCTGACAACATCAAGCACACTGAAGTCAAGAAAAAGATTAGAGGTGAATACATCAAGAGAGTGAAGAAGATCTTAAATTCCAAACTCAATGGAGGAAATACCATAAAGGCAATCAACACCTGGGCAATCCCAGTCATTAGGTACACAGCTGGAATAGTGGACTGGACTCAAGCAGAACTAAAAGCAATGGATAGGCAGACCAGAAAAATAATGACAATGAATCATGCCCTTCATCCACGCAGTGACATTGATAGACTTTATCTACCAAGGCAAATAGGTGGGCGTGGAATGCTACAAGTACATCAGATGGTTGAAGAAGAAAAAATGGCTTTGGAAGAATATCTGAAGAACAATGATGAAGATGCACTGAAATTAGTATATCAGGAAGGCTTACTAACTACTGGAGAGACCAAACTGGCCTACAAGAAAGACCAAATGAAGAACAGAATAGAGGCATGGGAACACAAAGCACTACATGGCCAATACGTGAAAAAAATAGCTGGGAAAGCAGATAATAATAAAACCTGGCAATGGCTAAGAGCAGGAAAATTGAAGAAAGAGACCGAGGGACTAATTCTGGCTGCACAAGACCAAACCTTAAGGACAAATGCATACAAAGTCAAAATTGAGAAGACAGCAACAGACAGTAAGTGCCGCCTATGCAAAGAAGCTGAAGAAACAGTGGACCACTTGGTAAGCTGTTGCAAGAAGATTGCACAGACTGACTACAAGCAGCGGCATGACAAAGTAGCAACAATGGTGCATTGGAAGATCTGCAAAAAATATCATTTGCCTGTAAGCAAAAACTGGTGGGATCATAAAATAGAGAAAGTCATAGAAAATGATAAAATTAAACTGCTTTGGGACTTCAGAATTCAAACAGACAAGCACCTGTAACATAACACCCCAGACTTAACAATTGTCGATAAGAAAGACAAAAAAGTCTGGATAGTGGACGTGGCAGTGCCTGGAGACAACAGAATAGACGAGAAAGAACTGGAGAAGATAACAAAATACAAAGACCTACAAATAGAAATAGAAAGACTGTGGCAAAAGCAAGCAAGGGTAGTACCAATAGTCATAGGCTCCTTGGGTACAATCCCAAAACAACTGGAGCACCACTTGAATACCATTGGCATTGACAAATTCGCTATTAGTCAATTGCAAAAGGCGGCCTTACTAGGAACTGCTTCCATCCTGCGACGATATCTGTAATACCATCAAACATCCACATCTGCCTATCCCGGGTCCTGGGTAAGGACTCGATAGGTAGACAAAATGCCAAATCCAGTCTGAATATCTGGCTGACTGTGCGATGATCCATAATAATAATAATAATAATAATAATAATAGTAATAGTAAAGTTGGAAGGGACCTTGGAGGTCATCTAGTCCAACCCCCTGCTCAAGCAGGAAACCCTACACCATTTCGGACAAATGGCTGTCCAGTCTCTTCTTAAAAACTTCCAGTGTTGGAGCATTCACCGCTTCTGGAGGCAGGTTGTTCCACTGGATAATTATTCTCACTGTCAGGAAGTTTCTCCTTAGTTCTAGGTTGCTTCTCTCCTTGATTAGTTGTACTATATATATGGTATATAGTATATATGGTATATATGGTATGAGATTGGACAGCCATTTGTCTGAAATGGTATATGGCTTCCTGCCTGAGCAGGGGGTTGGACTAGAAGACCTCCAAGGTCCCTTCCAATTCTATTCTATTCTATTCTGTTCTGTTCTGTTCTGTTCTGTTCTGTTCTATTCTATTCTATTCATTTTCTATTCTATTCTATTTGGTTCTGTTTTGTTCTGTTCTGTTCTATTCCTATTTTTATTTCTATTTCTATTTCTATTGGTCTAGGGTCTCCTGCTTGAGCAGGGGGTTGGACTAGAAGACCTCCAAGGTCCCTTCAAGCTCTATTCTGATTGATTGGGGAGCCGGGGAGCTAAAGCTCACCTCCTCAGACTGGTGTCCTCGGATTACAGCATCCATCAGTCCCAGCTGCCAGGCTCAACATTATCAATATTCCCCTTTTCCTCTGAAATGTTTCTTTCCGAAGGGGGTTGCGTTCACATTCTTAGTGGATCGTAATTGTTTGGCATCCTACCTCATGCAGGGACCATTTAGACCAGGGGTAGGCAACCTTGGCACTTTTATGACTCGTGGACCTCAACTCCCAGAACTCCTGAGCCAGCCGTGCTGAGGGGAAAGGGAGAGGTTTCCAAGCTGAGCCATGCTGGCTCAGGAATTCTGGGAGTTGAAGTCCACCAGTCATGAAGGGAGCCATAGTTCCCCCATGCTGGCTCAGGAATTCTGGGAGTTGAAGTCCACGAGTCATGAAGGGAGCCATAGTTCCCCCATGCTGGCTCAGGAATTCTGGGAGTTGAAGTCCACCAGTCATGAAGGGGCCAAAGTTTCCCTCATGCTGGCTCAGGAATTCTGGGAGTTGAAGTCCACCAGTCATAAAAGAGCCAAGGTTGCCTAGCCCTAACCTAGAAGGATCATGAAGGGCTTGCATTCAAAACCTCCATCTTTGGGATAGCAAGAGAAGAGGAATAGAATAGAATAGAATAGAATAGAATAGAATAGAATAGAATAGAATTGGAAGGGACCTTGGAGGTCTTCTAGTCCAGCCGCCTGCTCAAGCAGGAGAACCTATCCTATTTCAGACAAGTGACTGTCTAGCCTCTTCTTAAAAATCTCCAGTGGAGCACCCACGATTTCTGGTGTTCCAAGCTGTTCCACTGGCTGATTGCCCTCAGTGTCAGCAAGTGGATCCTTGCATCTTTAGTGAAGAGAAGGACGAGGGGGGACATGAGAGCAGCCTTCCAGTATCTCAGGGGCTGCCCCAAAGAAGAGGGAGTCAAGCTATTCTCCAAAGCGCCTGAAGCAGGACAAGAAGCAACGGATGGAAACTGACCAAGGAGAGAAGCAACCTAGAACTAAGGAGAAACTTCCTGACAGTGAGGACAATTAATCAGTGGAACTCCTTGCCTCCAGAAGCGGTGAATGCTCCAACACTGGAAGTTTTTAAGAAGAGACTGGATAGCCATTTGTCTGAAATGGTGGTAGGGTTTCAGGGGGTTGGACTAGATGACCTCCAAGGTCCCTTCCAACTTTACTACTACTACTACTACTACTACTACTACTACTACTACTACTACTACTATGGATCATCGCACAGTCAGCCAGATGTTCAGACTGGATTTGGCATTTTGTCTACCTATCGAGTCCTTACCCAGGACCTGGGATAGGCAGATGTGGATGTTTGATGGTATTACAGATATCGTCGCAGGATGGAAGCAGTTCCTAGTAAGGCCGCCTTTTGCAATTGATTAATAGTGAATTTGTCAATGCCAATGATGGTGTTCAAGTGGTGCTCTAGTTGTTTTGGGATTGCACCCAAGGCGCCTATGACTAATGGTACTACTACTGCTGCTGCTGCTGCTACTACTACTACTACTACTACTACTACTACTACTATTATTATTATTATTATTATCTGTAGACAAAATGAGTCACCTAATGAGCCCAGAGACAGCCCATCTAGTGGGACCCTCTGCTCTGCTGGGTGAGGAATTCTGGGAGATGGAGCCCACCCCTCTTTCAAGAGGATCAGATTGAGAAAGCTGCTCTGAGGTTAACGGAAGGGATCTGGTGCCCAGTAACGTGTAGATGCATTTGCTCCTAAAAGATTCTCCTGCAAACTGAAGGGGGGGGATCTAGGGGGGCCTTCAGCCTTTGGCATGCCCCTGCCCCCTTCAGAGACCGCAGGGAGCCTCTGAAGGCCACCCCAAGCTGGGAGACCCCCTACTCTGCTTTGGGGGAAGGGGCTGCCTTGCTTCCTTATTTCCCTGGGGGGGGGGCTGAAGGGCCAACCCCAAGGGCCCAACCCTCTGCAGACTTTTCTCTCTGCAGGAGATGCCGGCGGCAGCGTATGAGGTCTCCATCTAGGGCAGAGCCCACCCTCAAGGGGGGAGCCGGAGGGGCAGGCCTGACCCCCCCTGGATCACAGAGGCTCCCCACTCCTCCCCCCCCCAACACAGGACCTGTAAATACCTCCCAGCCAGACCTTCCAAGGAGAAAGACCACGCCGGGGGGGGGGGAGATGAGCTGCTGGTGGATGGTGCCTCCCCTTCCAGGACGCCCACCCCACACCCTCAGGACCCCACGGCCGCTGCAACATCAGCCCCCCCCCCAGTGCAGAATTTGCCTTCCTTCGGGAGAACTGCAGAAAGATTTCTCTTTTTTTCAAAACGAACGCCGACGACCCTTTCTCAGGCTCTGGAGTCCACCTTGCGCTGTTTCTCCAGGGAGAGATGCAGGATGCTATTTGAGCGAAGCCCTGAGGCTGTTCCCTAGTTGGGTCAGGAGACGTCTGCAAGAAAACAACGAAGCTCAAAGAGCAGCCGGGACCCCACAGTCGTCGTCTCCTCCTCCTCCTCCTCCTCCTCCTCCTCCTCCTCCTCCTCCTCCTCCTCCTCCTCCCCACTCAGCAAATCTATCTTCATTTTAGCACTGATGATGTTACGTAGTTGGGTCATGAAACATCTGCAAGAAAACAACCAAGCTCAGAGACGACCAAGGACTCCACAGTCGTTCTCCTCCTCTTCCTCCTCCTCCTCCTCCTCCTCCTCCTCCTCCCTCTCCACAAGCCCCCCTCCCTTCTAGAACTGATGATGTTACCTAGTTGGGTCATGAGACGTCTGCAAGAAAACAGCCCAGCTCAAAGAGCACCCAGGACCCCACAGTCCTCCCCCTCCTCCCTTTCTAGTACTGATGATGTTACCTAGTTGGGTAGAGAAACGTCTGCAGGAAAATCACCAAGCCTCAGAGAGCACCAGGGGCCCCGCAGTCCTCCTCTCTCCTTCTCCACTCCACAATCTCCCCTCCCTTCTAGAACTGACGATGTTACCTAGCTGGGTCATGAGACGTCTGCAAGGAAAGCGCCCAGCTCAGAGAGCACCAAGGACCCCACAGTCATTGTCCTTCTCCTTTCCACAAAACCCACTCCCTTCCAGCACTGCTGATGTTATCTAGTGGGGTCATGAAACGTCTGCAAGAAAACCACCCAGCTCAGAGCCCCAAGCACCCTACAATCCTCCTCCTCCTCCACGCCACAATCTCCCCTCCCTTCTAGTACTGATGTTGTTACCTGATTGGGTCATGAAACGTCTGCAGGAAAACCGCAGAGAGCATCAAGGACCCCACAGTCTTCTTCTTCCTCCTCCTCCTCCCCCTCCTCTCCACAAATCCTCCTCCCTTCTAGCCCTGATGATGTTCCCTAGTTGGGTCATGAAACGTCTGCAGGAAAACCGCCCAGCTCAGAGAGCACCAAGGACCCCACAGTCCCTTCCTCCTCCTCCTCCTCCTCCTCCTCCTCCTCCTCCTCCTCCTCCTCCTCCTCCTACTACTACCTACTACTACTCCTACTACTACTACTACTACTACTCCCTTCTAGCCCTGATGGTGTTCCCTAGATGGGTCATGAAACTACAAGAAAAACCAACCCAGCTCAGAGAGCACCAAGGACCCACAGTCCCTTTCTCCTCCTCCTCCTCTTCCTCCTAGCCCTGATGATGTTCCCTAGTTGGGTCATGAAACGTCTGCAGGAAAACCGCCCAGCTCAGAGAGCACCAAGGACACCCCCCCCCCAGTTCAACCTTGAGCTACAAAGATTCTCCTTTATCCGTTCTGATCCAAGCAACTAAACAGGCTGGGACCTGCTTCAGGCACGGAAAGGGGGATCGTGGGGAAATCCCAACTTGGACTGAGTTAATAAACGGATAGGAAAAGTCCCCAGGAAAACCCCGGCGGGGGGGGGCTGAGAAATTCAGGAAAATTCCCCAGCGATGACAAGAGGCAAACGGAGAAACGGGGGGCCTTGAAGCCAGCAAGAATCCACCGCCCCCCCCGTTGGGGTAGCCCCCCATCCCTCTGTGGGGAAACACACCCCAAAAGGAGACATTGCTTAACATCAATGTCCAGGAGACTCCAAGGACGCCTGCCTTGGGCAGGGGGTTGGACTAGATGACCTCTGACCTCCCTTCGAGGAAGCTGGGGATCCATTTCAGTTGGAGCAAACTGGGATGGGGCTGGGGGGGAGGGGGGAAACCCGGTGGGAGAGGAAGAAGAGGGGAGGGGGCCGTCTCTCCCTCGTACGGGCGGCCTTCTGCCTCTTTGAAATTTTGGGTGGGTATCCGTTGAGTGGCGGTCGCTGTTCGGGTTCGAACTGCCTTCGGTCTGTTTTGGAGATTTTGTACACACAACGGCAGGGGCTTCATTTGAAGGGGGGGGGGAACTGTGCTGCTGATTTGGGGATACTGGGATCGGGAAAGGGGGGGGGGAATTCCCTGGGAGCTACAACCAAAGGTCTGGGTAGCCCCCACGTAGCTTATAGGAGGCAAAGACCCACTCGGAAACCTGGAGGTAGAACAGCAGGGTGCAGAGGTGGTCCCTGGGGGTCCTGAGCCACTGGATCCTTGGGAAACTGAAGCCAGCATTTGAAGAACGCAGCGGCGGATGGCGGGGGTCCCGTTTGGAAAAGGGGAGCTGTGGGGGGGGGGGGCTGCTGGCTTCCATTGAAGCACGAAAGAGGAAAGTATAGCTCCCCGTTGTAACTCAACCTCAACTCTCCTTGCTCCAAAGTTCTTCTTAAGGCCTGGAGCAAAGAGTGGAGGGTCCCAGAAGCGAGAACCAGCGCTGGCGTTAGGCGCCCTCCCCCCCCCCCGAGTCTGGGGACAGATGCAACCCGTCGTGAAAAAGACCATCTCCCTTCCTGGAGGCTGTTCAATCCTGGAGATAGCAAGAACGCTTAGACTTATATACCGCTTCATGGTGCTTTACAGCCCTCTCTAAGAAGTTTTACAGAGTCAGCATTTTGCCCCCAACAATCTGGGTCCTCTTTTTACCGACCTCAGAAGGACGGAAGGCTGAGTCAACCTGGAGCCGGTCAGGATTGAACTGCTGGCAGTGGGCAGAGTCAGCCTGCAATGCTAACCATTCTAATCATTATGCCACCACGGTAGGAAAGAAAGAAAGAGAGGAAAGGAGGGAGGGAGGGAGCAAAGAAAGAAAGAAAAAGAAAAAAAGGGAAAAGGGAGGAAGGAAGGAGAAAAGAGAAGGAAGGAAGGCAGGAAGGGAGGGAGAGAAGGAAGGGAGGGAGAGAAGGAGGGAAGGGAAAAGGGAGGGAAGGAAGGAAAGAGAAAAGGGAGGGAGAGAAGGGGGAAGGGAAAAGGGAGGGAAGGATGGAAGGAGAAAAGGGAGGGAGAGAAGGAAGGAAAGAGAAAAGGGAGAGAAGGGGGGAAGGGAAAAGGGAGGGAAGGAAGGAAGGAGAAAAGGGAGGGAGAGGGGAGGAAGGAAGGAGAAAAGGGAGGGAAGGAGGGAAGGGGAAAGGAGGGAGAGAAGGAAGGAAGGGGAAAAGGGAGGGAAGGAAAGCAGGGAGAGAAGGAAGGAAGGGGAAAAGGGAAGGAAGGAAGGAGAAAAGGGAGGGAGAGAAGGAGGGGAGGAAGGAAGGAGAAAAGAGAGAAGGAGGGAAGGAGAAAAGGGAGGGAAGGAAGGAAGGAGAAAAGGGAGAGGGAGAAGGAAGGAAGGGGAAAAGGGAGGGAAGGAAGGAAGGAGAAAAGGGAGAGGGAGAAGGAAGGAAGGGGAAAAGGGAGGGAAGGAAGGCATGGAGAGAAGGAAGGAAGGGGAAAAGGGAAGGAAGGAAGGAGAAAAGAGGGAGAGAAGGAAGGAGAAAATGGAGGGAGAGAAGGAGGGAAGGGGAAAAGGGAGGGAAGGAAGGAAGGAGAAAAGGGAGAGGGAGAAGGAAGGAAGGGGAAAAGGGAGGGAAGGAAGGAAGGAGAAAAGAGGGAGAGAAGGAAGGAGAAAAGGGAGGGAGAGAAGGAGGGAAGGGGAAAAGGGAGGGAAGGGAGGGGGAGAAGAGAAGGACTACTTGTAGGTATCTATCGATGTGGGGGTTCCTGGGGGGGGGACACCTGAGAGCGGTCAGCATCATAGCGGCTACTAAGTGGTTCTCCCAGGTTTAACGTAAAGGCAGCTTTCTCACCGTGAGCATCTGGGCAGCCCACTAAAGATCTTGAGGAGGGGCTCCAGGTCTCCCCACAAATTGGGAGGAAAGCTGTTCTCCCCCAATCCTGTGGGGTGGAAGCTTCAGCATGGGGGGGGACCCAGAAAAAGGCCCTGGAATAGGAGTAGAGTGGAGTGGAGTGAAGTGAAATGGAATGCAACAGAGAATAGAATAGAATAGAATAGAATAGAATAGAATAGAATAGAATAGAATAGAATAGAGTATAGAGTAGAATAGAATAGGAGTAGAATAGAGTAGAATAGAATTAAATTAAGAATAGAATAGAATAAGGAATGGAATAGAACAGAAAATAAAAGAAAACAAAAGAAAAAATGAATAGAATAGAATAGAATAGGAATGGAAGAGAAGAATAAGGAATATAGAATTATGGGATAGAAGAGAATTATGGTATGGAAGAGAAGAATAAGGAATAGAATAGAAGAGTGGAATGGAATAGAATAGAATAGAATTAAAATAAGAATAGAATAAGGAATGGAATAGAACAGAACAGAAAATAAAACAGAAAAGAAAAAATGAATAGAATAGGATAGGAATGGAAGAGAAAAAAAGGAATAGAATAGAATTATGGGATGGAATAGAATTATGGGATGGAAGAGAAGAATAAGGAATAGAATAGAATTAAATTATAGGATAGGATAGAATGGAAAGGAATGGAATAGAATGGAATAGAATAGAAAAGAAAATATGGAATGGAATAGAGATGGAAGGGACCTTGGAGGTCTTCTAGTCCAGCCCCCTGCTCAAGCAGGAGAACCTATTCCATCTCAGACAAGTGACTGTCCAGTCGCTTCTTTAAAACCTCCAGTGATGGAGCGCCCACGATTTCTGGTGGCAAGTAGTTCCACTGGTTGATTGTCCTCCCTTTTAGGAAGTTTCTCCATAATTCCAGGTTGCTTCTCTCCTTGATCAGTTTCCAACCATTGTTTCTTGTCCTGCCCTCAGCTGCTTTGGAGAAGTAGCTTGATTCCCTCTTCTTTGGGGCAGCCTCTGAGATATTGGAAGACTGCTAGAAGTTGAGCAGATTGAAGGTGATAACCAGCATTTTGGTGGCTTCCACATTGCGTTCAGAGGCAGCCCTATCTTGAGCACACCGCAGTAGTCTAGCCACATGGGGAGGAGGGCCTGGGTCACGGCCAACAGGGCCTCCAGGTGAGGTAGGCCCACCCTTGGTGGCATCGGATAAAACCAGCCTCCGCTCCCAGCAAGATGTTCTCCAGGAGAAATGTGACCCAGGCAGTCCTCTACTTACGACCGCAACCGTGCCCAATGTTTGTGTTGATAAGTGAGATGGTTGTTATTGTCTCCCTTTTGCCCCGTTTTGCGACCATCTTGCTTGCCACGGTGGCTAAGCGAATCCAG